ATCAAAAGAAAACATATTTCACTGTGAACACAAATCTGGAAGACAACATTTCCGTTCACATTTATCTATCTTTATAGGATAATGAAAGGGATATATCATTTAATAAATTATATAAAAGATTTGCTTATATATGTGTACCTACAGTAAACCATATATACATATACTTTAAAACACACTGAAAGCTTGTTATCACAGAGTAGCATTATATACAAGCAGAATTTATTTTTTAATAAGCATTTCTCTTAGAAAACAAAGACAAAAGAAGCCAAATAGAGTATTATGTTGCCAACAATAAACACATTTCCAGCAGTCCGAGAAAACCAGAAACTCAGGACTCCCAGGGTTCTCAGAGGTTCAGAATTTGGCCCAACAACTGCTTTGACCCCATTTTTGTTATGGGATTGGGACAGCTCAGCTCTTTCCATGGCAACCAACTGTGCTGTCCTAAACACTACAGGATGGTCTCTAAATGACCCAGCAGTTCCAGGAGTACGAGGGAGATAAGATCTTATTAAAAATGCAAAAGTTGGCACTAATAAACCAGAATATGGGGATGTATTGACAAGGGGATTTGTAATATGTATAAACAAACCTTTCTCATTTGCCCTGACCGTTTTACTGGTTGGTCTCCTTAAATAGTTCTAAACAGATCATCTACCAACAGAGAAGGTGGTTAGAGAAGGTGGTTATAAAGAGCGGGAGAGACAAATGGCAACCAGGACAGTTGCGATTTATTTCTTTGTCTAAAACGAGTACCCTTTGGTTAAGAGGAGTCCATGGATGACAGCGGGAGCCTACAGTACATTTGTGAGCTCTACCCAGGAAATAATCCTCCGAGGATTTCTCCCAATCCCTAATTGGGGGGGGGGGGGGGGGCGAGGAATAAACTGGTTACCAGAGAGTACTGGAAAGATGACGATAGCAGATTAAAATGATAAACCCGATTTGAAAGGTTAAGACCTTATCACTTGATCTTCCCTCTGATATACTTTGGCTCGATCTGGTTTTCAATATTTGCTCTCTGTGTGTGTGTGTGTGTGTTTCATATTGGAGTTTATCTATGATCTAGTTTCTCATTGTGGGTCGCCTTTATGAATTTTTGTTTTGCGCTTTTCGGTACCTGAAGCCCAGGATTGATGCACCCCCAGAGACAAGGACTAGAGTAAGGGGTCCTGGGTGGTCTGGTAGGGAGGATGGCGGAGGGGAAAGGGCTGCTGATGTCAAGGAGTCCAAGAAGGAAGAAAGGGTTTTGAAACAGACTGCAGTGGCGATTGTACAACCCTGCTTGATGTGATTGAACTGTGCAATAGTGTGATGTCTGAATTAGCTCCAAGTAACACAGCATGTATTGCTTTCTAACTATAAAATGTATTCTAATTTAATAACATTTAGAAACACCTAAAACAGAAAAGAAAAACTCACTGTAATCCCATCCCCCTGGGAAATTCTTACTGAGCTGGCACCATGCTAAACATGGAGTTTCATATCTTGCTTTATCTTTCACCCAACATTGGATCATAAGCTTTCTCCTCTATCCTCTATTAAAAATGCTTCACAAATGTGACAGTTCATGACAGACTAATAGTCTGTTATGTGGATGCACCATGATTTATTGAGATATTTCTATACTGTGGAAGGATGTTTTGATGAAACTAAGCTTTAATGTTAGAGGTATTTACAATATTTATTTGTTTCCTATTATCTCCATTAAAATACGTTATCAGAAATTAAATCATTAGAAAATTAGGAAACATTTCATGTTCTCCTGCATTAATTATTCTGCTTCCTTTAATTTTTTCTCTATTCTTGTTTGCTTACATTCTCAGCTTCACTTTATTCAAAATCTTCACATTCTACAAAATTTCTTTACAATTTTAATTAAGATTTCATTAAATGAATATTTTTAGATAGGAAGACTTGATTTTTTCATAATTTTAGGAACTTGATATGTATATCTATTCATTCAAATCCTTTATCACTCAATAAAAATTTGCAGTTTTGTGTTTTTTAAAGAAGTTCCCACACATTCCAATTCCAGACTAAAGGTCATCTTCTCAGAAAGGTCTTCTTTAATTACCCAATTCAACTTTGATTCCTCTGCCCCATTGCTATTATGCTCATCACAGAAACCTGCTTGTTTCTCCTAGGAGTCATCATCATTGTTTGTAATTATTTGTTTATTCATGTATTATCGATTCTCCTCATCTAAGTCCATGAAATCAGGGACCATAATATCATGTCCATTGCATTGGGCCTCTACTCAAGTACTCCCTCAATGCAAGAACACTCTGTTCTATTAAACTGGCATTCCATGATGTGCATCTTCCCGACAGGATCGTTGAAGACAAAGTAGGTGCATAAACAAATGTGGTGAAGAAAGCTGATGGTGCCTGGCTATCAAAAGATACAGTGTTGGGGGCCTTAAAGGCTTGAAGATAAACAAGCAGCCATCTAGCTGAGAAGAAGCAAAACCGACATGGAAGAAGCACACCAGCCTGTGTGATCACAAGGTGTCGATGGGATCAGGTGTCAGACATCAAAGAACAAAAATGTTATATCACTGTGAATGAGGGGGAGTGCGGAGTGGAGACCCAAAGCCCATTTGTAGGCAACTGGACATGCCCTTACAGAAGGGTCATGGGGAGGAGATGAACCAGTCAGGGTGCAGTATAGCACCAATGTAACATACAACTTTCCTCTAGTTCTTTAATGCTTCCTCTCCACCACTATTATGATCCCAATTCTACCTTACAAATCCAGCTAGAACGGAGGATGTACACTGGTACAGATAAAAGTTGGGAACACAGGGAATCCAGGACAGATAAACCCCTCAGGACCAATAATGCGAGTAGCGATACCAGGAGGGTCAAGGGAAGGTAAGGGAGAAAGGGGGAGCCGATCCCAATGATCTACATATAACCCTCTCCCTGGGGCACAGACAGCAGAAAAGTGGGTAAAGGGAGACATCGGACAGTGTAAGACATGAAAAAATAATAATAATTTATAAATTAGCAAGAGTTCATGAGGGAAGGAGGGTAGGGGAGGGAAGGAAAAAAATGAGGAACTTAAAAAAAATGAGGAGCTGAAGTAGAAAGAAAATGTTTTGAGAATGACGATGGCAACAAATGTACAAATGCGCTTGACACAATGGATGTATGTATGTATTGTGATAAGATTTGTATAAGCCCCCAATAAAATGATTAAAAAACAAACTATTATATATGTGTGTGTGTGTATATATTATATATCTTGTCCACTGTTGTATACCTACCCAGTGCTCAGCCAATATTTTCTGAATAAATGAATGAAAACCTCATTAACTGAGAAGTTATAGAGACAGAATAGGATAATATTTGAAAGGTAAAGGCAAGCGTATTTACTTATATTTCATCTAAATTTCAATCCGAAAATTGTGTGTTGGTTGTGGTGGGTATCTTTATACTAAAACATCTACCTGCTCGACAGTTTTTACATTTACAAGTCAGTGGCAGTAATTATGTTCATCCTGTTGTATAATCATCACCACTATCAACTTCGGCATTTTTCCATCACATTTTACAAAAGACCAATACCCTCTACGCGACAGCTCCCCCGTCCCCAGCCCCTTGTAATTATTAACAAACTTCCGACGCTAACAAAAACCCACTGCCATCGAGCAGCTTCTGACTCATATAACTTCATATGCGGTTTCTAAGGCTGTCCATTTTTGCGGAAGCCGATATTCTCAAGTTTTTCCCTATGAATGACTGATGGGTTTGAACTTCCAACCTTGTGTCTGGCAGTGCAAGGCTTACCCAATGGCACCAGCAGGACTCCCTCTTGGTTTCTATGTATCACCCTACTCTAGCTAGTTCACAGAAGTGAAATCATGCAATATGTGAGCTACTCACCTTCACTCAGCATGATGTGCTCACACTTAATCCATGTAACAGCGTGCTTCATAGTTTCCATGATGGCTTAATAAGACTTCACCGTGCGCGCCTCATTTTGTCGATTCATTGCCGATTAAAGGATATTGAGGTTGTTTCCACGATAAGGGCCAGGGCACCGTTTCAAGTCTATGTTGGTGGCCTCTCATCTGAAGGATGTGTCTGTGTCTTATGTTGTTTTTGTCTCTTTTAGGGCTTTTTTTAAAATTAACTGTTTTCTTTAAATTAAAAAAAAGCTAAGCATCTCTATTTCCTTTTTTTTTTTTTTTTTCGGTGCTGATATCTTCCTTTAGAAACGTTTGTCATAACTTTGGTCATGAAAGATTCTTTATAAAGAATATAAAAAATTCATAATGTAATACAAATTTGTATTCTAATATGTACTATTAAATACATACGATCATTAAATATGATCATTAAATATACATATAGATGGAATTTTATTGTATTCATAAATCTTCTATAGGTACGATGTATAAAATATATAATAGAAATATAACAAATTATATCTATTGTTTTCACTTTATAAAACAATAATAATGGTATTATTCTTATTATAACAATAATAATTGTAACAAACTGAACAATAATGAGGTGCTACCTGGCATTCATAAGAATGAGGGCTATCAGGGAAATAGACACAGGATAGAGAATATAGGACATAGAAAGAAGAACATCTTCATACATGATTAATGAACACATACACTGATTCAGACATTCTGGAGAACAATAAGGTCATGTAAGCCAGGATTCACCAGAGAAACAGAAAAACTTAGAGATTTAGAATTTCTGAGGAATTGGCTCACGTGGTTGTCTGGGCTCGCAAGTCCACATGCAGAGTCTCCACTGTAGGGATTCTCTCAGAGGATGAAGCTTTTTCACACCCCTCTGAGAATTCTTGCATAGATTGGGGTATGAGAAAAATATACAATCTGTTGTATGTTTGCTGTTGGCTTAGATTCCACCAAATCGTCAAATAGGAAATTAATAAGTGTAGTAGAACCTTACACTGCAGACAGAATAAATGAGCCAGATTACAACGTGTGCAGTGGATAAAAATGTAGTGTCGATTTAAACAATGAAAGAAACAGAAAAGTGAAAGCAGAAATACAACAAGGTACCTACAGATAGTTGCTTTTTGATGGAAGACACGTTCGGTGGGGAAGAGATAGTCTTTTCAACAAGCAGTGCCGGAAATCTAGGATCCCCGCCTGCAAAAGAACGAAACAGGAGTCGTACCTACATCATAACCAACAATGAACTCGAATGGGCTTAAGGCCTAAGCACAAACCTGAGAGTTATGATGAACAATGAAGAAAGAGGCATACATTTAGGGGGTTTAATGCAGGAGATGAATACACTATTGGGATTTTAAAAACGCCCACACCACAGAAGACAAAATAGAGGAGAGGGGCCTCCTCAAATATGACATTTCCATCCATCAAAAGGGTTCAACAGAAGAGTGAAAAGTACGCCCACAGATTGGGTGGGGGTGGGGATTTGCAGTGCTGTATCAGATGAAGGGCTACTTTTAAAAATCTATAGAAACCGGCCACATCTCAATAAGAAAAACACAAATAATCCAATAAAAAATGAGCAAAAGCCGTGAGCAGATAATCCGCAAACGATGCCGTTCGAACAGTCATCCTATGAAGAAATGCTCACAATCATTCGCTATAAGAGAAACACAAATTAAAATGAGGATGAGGTTCACAGACGTCACACTGACAGTGATAACACTGTTTTCTTTTTTTTAAGTAAACAATGTTGGAGAGGATATGGAGAGACTGGAACACTCAGACACTGCTGGTGGGACTGCGGAATTGTAGAGCAGCGATGTAAAACGGGGGCACTCCTCTAGACAAATAGAACTACCACATGACCCTGTACTATCTCAACTCGGTATACAGAAATCAAGACAAAAATACAAACAGATACATGCACACCCATGTTTATCACAGTGCTTTCTATAATAGCAAAAAATAAAAACCCCAAAAGCCCATCAGTGGAGAATGGGTAAAAAGGCTCTGGTTTATACACACAATGGAATACTCTGTGTTTTTAAAGCACAATAATGAATATGTCAAACACCTTATAACATGGGCGACCTTGGAAGACATCATGTTCAACACAATGAGTCAATCCCATAAAGACAAATACTTCATGACACAATTATTATAAAAAAGGCAGGGGGAGGAGAAGCAAACTTTGCAGACTAAACTTTGCAGCCACGAGTCCAAAGGCAGATGAAGAATAACTTTGAACTCAGGTTGGTTCCTCCATTGCGGTTCTTGCACGACTTAAACAGCCCCACCCCCACCGCCCCCACCCCGAGAAAATGGGCGGAGAGGTGGGAGGAGGGTCAAACCAAACCACCAAAGAGACTGACTGTGAGCTGTAATCCCACTTCACTGTATGATTAGGATTAAAATAAAGCTGCGGAATATGGTTGCAAAAAAGTGTAAATATTATATGCCCAAATGATTACACAAAGTAGAAAGAATAAAAGCAGTTTTGAGAGGAAAGGGGGGAAAGTGGGAACGTCAGCATGTTAAATCTCTCATTTGTAGTCTCACGCACACACACGCACGCATTCACTCACGCACTGTCTCACTCACTCACTCACTCACTCACTCACTCACTCACTCACTCACTCACTGTCTCACTCACTTATGCACGCACTCACTCACTCAGGCACTCACTCACTCACTCATGCACTCACTCACTCACTCAGGCACTCACTCACTCACTCATTCACTCACTCAGGCACTCACTCACTCACTCAGGCACTCACTCACTCACTCACGCACTCACTCATTCACTCACTCAGGCACTCACTCACTCACTCAGGCACTCACTCACTCACTCACTCACTCACTCATTCACTCACTCATGCACTCACTCACTCTCATCAAGTAGATTCTGACACACCACTGCTCTAGGAAACAGCTGGAATTGCCCCCTTTGAGCTTCCAAGATTTTCAACGTTTCAGGAGTAACAGCCTGATCTTTGTTGTTGCTCTGTTCGGATAACTTACTTAACAACAAAACTCAATAAAGATATAAGAAAGGCTAAAGGTGAAAGCTAAGGATGGTGATGTGATAAACTAGACACTGGAGGAGAAATCCTTGTTCATAGCGGGGGTTAAAAGATACTATAAGAAGAAATAGAAGTCCATGAGGATGATGAAACATTTTGATTGCAATATAGACACTGAATAAAATATAAACATTTCAGTTTATCAAGAGAAACATTCACAGAATTCAAATACAGGTTATAGATGGGAACACAGCTAAGAAAAAACATTACATAAAATAATATGCAAAACTAAAGACTAAATACAGTTAGAGTTGTGAATATGAGGAGCTAAATTAGTGTATAAATAGAAGACAAAAATAAAACTCAGATTGACTCATAAAACAAAAACCAAAATCTAATGCCAAAGGATGGGCGCCACAGCACACGTCAGTAAGCAGAGGTGCTCCAAGCAAAGATAAAGAAGCCGAGGCAGTTTGCCTTGCCCAATATTTACTGCTTTCCCTGTTTTCTTACCTTCCTTCAGATAGTGGCCCTTGTGACTATCTCTGGCCAATAGAACACATGCTGAAATGCTAAGTAAGAACCAGGAGGCCTCTTTCATCCAACACTTTCCCTGTTACGTGTTCCTGATGGCCTAGATGCCAGATGGAAGTGGTCCACTCAACCCACATTGGACTGTGCATGAGCCACTTCAAATGTGAGCTTTAACTTTTACAGTAATGGTTGTCTGACTTGACCATTAAAAGTAGCCAAGACTGCTTGGCAAAATGTCCATGTCCAGATCTGGGACAGGCAATGTGTAAGATTAGCCTAGGGCATCTCTTCATAAAAGAAAGTACAGAAGCTAATATCAGTGATTTTTATCGTGTCTAAAGACGTCAAGGGCCAATTGGTTTCCAGTGGCCCAAAATAAACAATCTCTACACCATCAAATAGGAATAATAACTGCAATAGACTTAACCACCTAAAGTATGTTTAAAACTCAGCAATTCACAACTAAATAGATGGAAACAGAGCAAAATTTCCCTGGTCAGCTTTGATGGATGAACCAATGTGTTATTTTGAAAAAAAACATATATCCTATTTCTCCAATAGGAGTGAAACTTAGATAAATGTATCTCAGTATAAGTCCAAATAACTGATAAGCACAAAAAGTCTGTTTAGAAATATTCCTGCTAATTAATGAAGAAAATGGTAGAGTTAGAATATCATTTTGGAATTGTTAATGAAGCAATAGATCTAAGAACTAGCTTTCAATTGGTTCTAATATCATAAAAAGAAAATCCACCAGGTGAAAAATCCACGCAGAGAAATCTCTGAGGATCTGTCTGGACAAGACTGCCTTGTCTTTTGTGGGTCTCTAAAGACAGGGTACACGGGAAGGGGAAACATCCTACTAAACAAGCCTATGAAAAGTTTAGGATTCTAGTACAAGAATGGACAGCAAAATAGGAAATAACATTTAGGAATAAATATAAAAGCATACAGTGATCATGTGTAAGATGTGGCTGACATTTAAAACTGTGAAGAAAAAATGACATTGAGTTCCTGGCTAATTCCAGGAGTAAAAATAAAGTTCTAGCCTTACTACTAAGACTGGGAAAGATTTTTCTAGGAATGATTCAAAATCCATAAAAGAAAATGATTTTAAATCAACCTGTATAAATAATAGGAGTAAAACGGAGCAAAACCAAAAACCTTAAAAAAAATAGAAGGAAAGTCAGACATGACAATATAATTAATTACTGACTCACCAGAAACAAGGGCGGCCAGGTGGCGGTAACTGACATACACACTTGAGATGCTAGAAATTATCAATCAAGAATTCTATGTCCTTTAGAAACAAACACAAAATACAGACATTTTCAAATAAACAATTAAAAGTCAAAAATACATGAACATTATAGTGCATCACCACCACGGATAAATTGCTTAATATATAAAAAGCTCTTACAGTGAAAAGAGACAATGTAGTAGACATCCACATTTTTATGGTATAGTATGTAGGTCTACGTGGTCAGTCTGAAGGAAAGTAAGTGGAAATGTCACATAAACATGTGATGAGACATCCATCATCCTCACTCACGTAATTTCACAGCACACTGAGTTTTCATGGGTGTGAGGAAATGGGATTTCATATATTATTCGTGAGTGTATTCATATATTCTTGATGAGTGTATGTTCATATATTCTTGGTGAGTGTATCTTTAAGGCTCTTTATTTAAGGGAAATTTGACAATATTTCCAAATTTTTAAATATGTAAATACTCTGACCCAGGAATTTATACTATAGATATCCTTTCAGCATTGAAATGAGGTTGGTGCAACTTGATTTAATGGAATATCGTTGTAGAAAAGAGTGAAAAATCAACCTTGCTTGCTCTTCAACCGGGACTTATGGATAAATTACACCCCAGTTATGGAATACTAATGACAGGAACTTTGGTCATGTAGTGGGTTATGGATTGGACTGCTAACCTCAAAGTCAGCAGTTCGAAACTACCAACCACTCCGCAGGAGAAAGCGGAGGCTTTCTACTCCTGCAAAGAGTCACACGCTTGGAAACCCACAGAGCTAGCTGTACTCTGTCCTGCAGATGAGTCCAAATCGACTTGATGGCAGTGGGTTGAGTTTTCTCGAGAACCACAGTTTAAAAGCAAGAGGCAGGCATTTATGTATGATACTCAAGGATCTTTTGATCCATTTAATGCACTAAATGTAATATTATGTGAAAAAAATCAAAGTAAAGAGCAGTACATATAGTATGGTCCACTTATGCAATAGAGGGAGAAAAGCAGTAAAGCCAACTGGTGTGGCTGACTTCACATAGTAACTATTCAACAAGTCAGTCAACTTTATTCTTTATCTATAAACAACCTCAGATGTTTTCTGTGAAGCTTGACTTGCGTGAGATGTGAAAGTCTTTGTAAATGCAAATTCTGTGCAGCTCATCACAGGACAGTGGGCGCAAGAATGGGTTACTTTGGGGGCAGCCCTGTGTACTTACTCAACATCTTAGAGCCTTCACACATACACCTCAAGTTCCTGTATTTAAATCACAAAAATGCTAACAATAATGCCCCCAATCCTTTTAGAAATTGCTGTGAGAATCATCGAACGTAATCTATGTGAACCGGCTTTGTAAATGACCTCACCGTAAAGAACATAGAT